GTAGATCCCCCCCCCCCCGTTGAGGGCCCTACCCTGCCTGGGGAGTGATGTGTGGATGGGGTGGGGGGGTAGGCTGGGGGGTGAGGGAGGAGGGATGGCGGTGAGGGGAGGGAGAGGGAGAAGGGACTTACATGTGAAACAAGCTTGTTCCCTAACTAGAACTAATAAATAAATTAAAAAAAATTGACACTAAAACAGGGCCTCTGAGATGGGTCTAGGTTGACCACTCTAAAAAAAAAAAAAAGAGAGAGAGAGAGACTGAGGAAGGAGGATTATCAAGAGTTTAAGGCCGAGACCCTGCCTCAAAACATTTTTTTCCATGCAATAAAATAGTTTCTTCTCATTCCTTCCTCTTTCCAGTGCCTGCTCACCACCAATATGTATTTTGACTCTAGGATGTGTCTATGGATTAATTGATTCTGGGCGTTTCATATAATGAAACAGAATGTAACCTTCTGTAACCAACTTCTGTTATTTAGCATAATGGTTTTATTCTTTGGTATCTATACTGCAGTGTGTATCGGCACTTCTATCTCATGGCTGCAAACACTACATTGCATATATATAATACAAATTGTCTATCCATTCATGAGCATTCAGGATATTTCCCCATTTCGCCTTAGATTTATGCTGTTATGAACATGTGTATACATGTACTTGTTTGAGTACCTGTTTCAAGCTTTTCGGTTATATACTTATGCATGTAATTGATGGGTTGTGGTAACTCTTCTGTTTAATTTTTGAGGAACCACCAGACTGTTTTTGCATAGTAACTGCACCATTTTATCCTATCATCAGCAAAGATGAAGAGTTGCAACTTTTCGTATCTTATTTTCCATTTTTTTACAAACTATTATTAGGGGCTGGAAAGATGGCTCAGCAGTTAAAAGCGCTTGTTATGCAATCAGAAGGGCCTGGGTTGGAATCACAACACCCACATAACAAGCTAGACACCCCACAAATACTAGTAACCACAGCTCTGAAAGGTCCAAGATCCTCTTCTGGCATCTGCATGTGCACATCAGTGAACATGTATAAACACATACATGCAAAATAAATCACTAAATAAATAAGCCAATAAGCAAATTTTTAAAAGTCTAAAAAGAAAAAAAAGTTTGGACAGGGTCCAGACAGCATTGTGTAGCCTGGCTGGCCTGGAACCTAAGTAACCCACACTGGCCTCAAACTCAGAGATCTGCCTACCTCTGCTTTCTGAGTGCTGGGATTAAAGGTGTGCGCCACTACACCCAGCTGAAACAACTATTATTGCTATTGTTATAGCTATGCTATTGTAGATGGTATAAAATATTCTTGGCTGTGATACTTCCGATTATCTCAGGAGCAGTTTTCTGACCTCTGACCACTTTTAGTTTTGATCACACACACTCAGCATATAAGCTGTATGAAACGGGTCTTGGAAAAAATTTTCCATGTCATGGTACAGCACCAGTCTAACCTCTTCCATTAAGGTCCCTCCTGCTGACTCTGATCATCTGGACCTAGCACCATGGAGCCAGGGTTCTGGTCCTTATGTTAGTTGATCTTTTTACCTAGAGTACTTGCTTGCTTCAGTCTGTAGTTTCTTCCTTTTGCTTTTATGAAGCAGAGTTTGGGTTTGATAAAGCTATTTTAATATAAGTTTAAGCATAATTATTAAGAAAGAGGCTCTCAGAAAAAAATTAAAACACACCCAAGAACAGGGTTGTGGGCTTCTCAAAGAAGAATTATGGCAAAGAAGACATGCCCAAGTGTAGGTACAGGCCCTTAAGGGAGATTTGCCTTCAGTTTCTTTCCCACACACCCCAACCCCTGCATACATAGGATTTCACTACACAACCCAGGTGGGCAACTAAGCAAAATTCGCCTGGCTCAGTCGCCTGTACAAGACTGGAGATGGACACCACCATGCCCTGATAGAAATTTTGGTCACTTTTGTTCCATCTCGACTCCATTAAAATAAGAAAAGGATGGCAAGGCTAACTATTCTCACCAATCAGAACTCTAGAGACTGAACTATTTAATAAGTGTCTATTGCTACATCAAAAGCCCATTTAGTCTTTCCTGGCCACTCATGGACACAAAGTTTTCAGCAATCAGTCCCTTCTCTCAATATTATGGTAGCAAACAGCTAAGTGACATTTAGTCTCTAAGTGTTACTTAACTGTTTTCTTTAGGTTGTTTCCTTCATCTACAATGTCTTCTCTTGGAAAAGCCATGGAATAAAATCTTGGATCCCTCTGAGAGACAGAGATCATGGGCCACCTCTCCTAAATAATGTTTTTTCTGTCCCTGGTCTGGAACACACAAGTATGAGTACTAATAGGGAACAATGGTCTTAGTTTGGGTGTGCAGCAGTTGAACCTAGGGCCTTATGAGGTGCTAATTTGAGTGTTCTATCACTTGAGCTACACCCCCAGTCTGCAGTGATCATGTTATCCCACTAGTACAGCCTATGATTGATTCATCTAGGTCTTCCTATAGGATCCAGCACAGCACTACCAAAAAGTGAATCTTTCCTTAAAATATTTAATGAATGAGTAGAATAAATGTTTAAATATGAATATACTTAGAATGTTTCATTTTTTAACACCAGTGGGATAATGAAGGTGCTGTCTTGTAGGAATGCCTATGAGACCCAGGATTTCAGCCTAGCCTCTCCCAATGATTTTGGATTCCATGGCACAGCAGTAGACCTCTACACAAGACTCACAGAGAGGAGGCCCAAAGAGCACTGTATCCAGGGCCTTCAGCTGTAGCTTCTGCCTGTGGCTCCGATCTGTCATCTTCAGTACAGTCCCTGTCATGGTGGTATTGGTTACAGCTAGCCTGTTAAGTGAAAGAATAAGGGTCAGATTTGGGACAGAAAAAAAAAAATACTGGGAGGATTACCTATCTCTTCCAGGAACACATTAAGCTTTTGGTGATTGTCCTTCTCTGCACTCTAGAACACAGAGTCTTTCGTGAGGTGGGGTTTTTGTTTGTTTGTTTGGTTGGTTGGTTGGCTGTTTTTTGTTTTAATGTATATGAGAGTGTTTTACCTACATGCATGTCTGTGCACCAGAAGATGCAGGCAGAACCCACAGAGGCCAAAAGAGGGCATTCTATATCCTGGAACTGGAGTTATGGATGCCTGGGCCACCAAGTGGGGGCTGGCAACTGAATCCAGGTCCTCTGGAAGATCAGAAAGTCTTAAGTGCTAAACCATCTCTCCAGCACCAGTAAATTGTCTCTTAACAGGGAGCATTTACCAAGAATTTGATAACCCTCCATATCTATAATCTTCTAAGTGCTCTACCCTCTAAGAACTAACAATTTGTGGCAATTCCCTTACTTAATTACATATTTTTATGCTTCTTATTTCTCGTTTCTTCTTTTTCTTGTTGTTATTGTTTTATGTATGTATGATGTGTATATGAGTGTGTGCATGCATGTGTGACAGTGTGCATGTGGAAGTCTAAGAATAACTTTCTGGAGTTGATTCTCTCCTTCCACATTGTTGTAGGGAGATTTCTCTTATTTCTCCCATGACATATAATCCAGGCTAACCAGTCCAAGAGCTTCAAAGAAATTGTCCTGTCTCCACCTCCCATTTCACTGTCAAGTACTGGGATTACAGATATGCACCACCACACCTTACTTTTTTTTCCCCTTCTTCTTCTTGCTTTTGTTTTTTTAAAGGCCTGGGACTCAAATGCAGATCAGGCTTATACAACAGGTGTTTTATCAGCTAAGCATCTCACCAGTGATTTCTCTTATGCTTCTGCTTCCAGAGATCATCTGGATTATTAAATATTAGTCCCTTTGTACTCTCTTGTACAGTCCAGTTCAAAACATCGTGTTCAATGACCCACTGGGTCTTGGGCCTTCTAACTCACTGCTATTATATATAAACCTGCTTATGAACAAAACTGAGTTAGTCCTATTAGCAAGTATCTAAGTAATTGCAATATAATTTACTACTCATAAGATTAATGAGTCATAGTTTTATTACCTTTATCCACACACTGATAGTAAGACTTTATTTTAGTAAAGATAATAAAATGCCTGAAAAAAAATTGGACTTCATCTTTTTTTTCTGCTGAAATACAGCAGGTATAATAGGAAAGTAGTATAAGATACAAAACAATAGAAAGCATGCTCCCGGGTCCCTTAAGGGTATGTTTAATAGTATACTACTATGCATCACTGGTTACCTTTTCTGACACAAAGCTTTATTTCCTCAGCTAGAAGAAAAGCTTCTGACATCACAGTGTGTGGTTTCTACTTCTGTCTGAGCATGAAGAAGTGGCAGCTACTTCCTCCTCTGAACTTGGAAAGCAATCAAGGGCATTTACAAAAGGGGGAATAAGGTTTCTGGTCCTGAGCATTCTCACTTGTCTGATCACAAGTTGCTTGGTTCCTCCCCTAAGACCTCGATTTCCTTTTGAGTACATTTTTATTTTATTTATGTCATAAAGTCTCTATGCATCCCTGGCTGTCCTGGAACTCATTATGTTGACCAGGCTGGCCTCCAATCCACAAAAATCCACCTGCTTCTGCCTCTTGGAGTATTAGGGTTAAAGATGTGCATAACCACACCTGGTCTTCTGTGTAATTTATGTAAAATGGGGTGCTTTCTGAAAGCCTGGGGGTTCTTAAACTCCTCTTAAGGTCGATTCTGCAAATGGAATTTGTATTATTACCATACTTCCTACACGCTAATTCTCAGTGACACCAATGAGTTATAATGCTATCCTTTTAAGTAATGAAAAGGAAAAAGATGACAATATTTACTAACATTGACTAATAGTGTTCTGACATTTACATGTAACACCTCATTGAGCACTGAGTCCTCACAATAGACTTAATAAATAAACCAATTCTCTTTGAAATCAGTTTTCTTTTTTAAAAGTTTGTTTATTTATTTATTTATTTATCTATCTATTTATTTTGTTTGGTGTGGGGGTTCATGTTATATGGTGCATGTGTGAAGATCAGAGGACAATTATTTGGAGTCAGTATTCCCCTTCCATCATGTGGGTCCCAGGGATTGAACCCAAGTCATAAGGCTTAGCGGCAAGTACTTTACCCACTGGCATGTACTAAGCCCTCAATAAATAGAAGCCATTAGTATGATTCCCAGGAGTGATAAGATTTATCACACAAGAGAACAGATACAAAGTGGCCTTCATGCTTTATAGCAAACACACATGAGAAGAGCAGTTGTCTACAGACTGCTCTTCTGACTTTAGACTCTGTTGAGGGTGAAGCCTTACTGAATTGTCCACAGCAACCTGAAGGCAGACCCATTCCCAGCTTGTTCCCTATGCCCTCAAAAGAAAAATCCAGCCCAATTTATGACCTTGGCATGGCATGGCCAGTAAGTTGCAACTTCCGGAAGGTCTCCTCATACTGAGGTAGCTCCACATACGTAATCAGCCACTGTATCACCTCATCGACAGTCCAGTTGTACACTATGGAAAGACAAGAAAAAAAAACATTACTCTAAAAATTTCCTTGCTTTAGTTGTTCTTTCTTCTCCCAGTAGCTGTTTCCTTTTGAGTATGAAAAATGTCAGCATTGAAGGAATTTATGATACTCTGAAGCAGTGTTGACTAATACTTGCTGTTGTGGTCACACTGACCTTAACACTTATCATGTTTGTGTCCATAGCATCTGTCCATAAGTCTGAAAGATGTAGGTACTATATGAATCTACTTATACGAAACTCTAATACAATAAAACTATCAGTGGTTGGTTTCAGCCAGGATTTAAAAAAAAAAAAAAGCAATGTTTTGAGAAGAAACATTCTGTATCTTGAATCTAAATACATAATGGAGAATAGTCCCTTACACATTTAATCCCACCATACAGGAAGCTGAGGCAAGATGATAGTCCTGAGTTTCAAGCCAATCTGAGCTAGCTAGTGAGTATAAGGCCTATCTAGACTACATAGATCAACCCTATCAAAAAAACAAAACAAAACAAAATAAAATATCTGTATCTTCTTTGTGTCTCAACAAACTTAATTTTAAAATATTTTTAAACTTGAACATGGAGGAACACGCCTATAATCCTAGCATTGGGGATACTGAGACAGGAAAATCGTGAATTCCAGACCAACCTTAGCTACATAGTGAGTTTGAAGCTACTTCTATCTCAAAACAAAACAAAATAATATATGTATTATTATATACAGATCACAGAGATCTGTCTATCTCTGCTCCCAACTGCTAGAATTAAAGGTTTGGGCCACCACACCTGGTAGCAATTTGAATTTAAGATTAATGTTGTCCAGTGGAAGGCATAAACTACCAAGAATTGACCCCAGAGAGATTGCTGTAACATTGTCTGATCTTGTAGAACTGCAATGGTCAAAGGTCATTTTGCCGCCAAGATTCCAAGTCCCATTTCCTTAGCAACAGTACTCTGAGTTTGTATTAATAGAGCCACCTCTCCCTTACTCTCAGGTAAGATGCTTCAGACCAAGCTAAATCCACTTCTAGGAGTAGAACATGTAACCCAAGACCAGCCAACTAGTACATTTTACACTCCTGTACACAGTGCTTGTTTCTGAAATAAGATTAACAGAAACGAAATTCTATAATTTTTTTTCATTGGCTCAAAGGGGATAGACTTACATGTTGAGTCTATTGGCATCCAGGTGAACTGATCTGAAGTACAATATTAGTAATGATTACATTAATAGAGACCATCACTTATACTTTATGATGATAGTGTTTAAGCAGCTTGATTTTTTTTTTTATTTTTTATTTTTAGAGATAGGGTTTCTCTATGTAGCCCTGTCTGTCTTAGGACTTTCTCTGTATACCAGGCTGGCTTCAAACTCAGAGACCCACCTACCTCTGCCTCCCAACTCTGGGATTAAAGGTGTGAGCCACCACCGCCTGGCTGCCACCTGTGCTTTATAAAGAGATACTATCTTTAAAACAAGCAAACAAAAAACTCAGATATTTCTCTGATAGTAGGTATAGCCATAGCTATGGTTGTTCTCTATCAGTCTCACATAAACAATTTGGAATATGTCCTTTCATTCTTCTGCTTCCACTAAAATATGACTACAAAGAAGACAGCCAAAAAGACCTCTTGAATGAAACAAAGTTGAAGGCAAACTGATTCTATCTCAACGCCCTCAGAAGATTCTGGAGCTCAGGATAAAAGCTGTGACGCTGAGTGGTCTTGAGAGTAGCTTAGACTAGAGGTGAGAGGAAAAGGTGACAGGAGAAGAAATGAGGCAGGAATACTGAATGTGCTCCAAAACTGCTCCTAGAAGACAAGATGATACAGACTTACACAAAGGGTGTCTGGTCACTGCTGGTTAAATGTCTGGTTCCCAATTGAGAATACATTGGAAGAAAAGAAAAAGTAATGTCCAAGAGATACATTCAAACCACAAGGTTTGAAAATGATAAGGAGTTGGTGAGGAAAGTAAAATGAATTAGCTATTATTACTTAAAATGAAAATATATCCTAACATATTAGCAATGTAGTCATTACTATAGTCTGGAATGTCTGGTAATGAAGGGAGAGGAGAGTGATACACATGAGGCAGACAGACAAGTGCCAGCCTGTAAAGTACAGAAAACAACAAAAGTCCTGTAATTGTGCCAAGGGATCTTGGCTTAATCCAACACAAAGAAGCCTTTCTGCTTGGCACATAGAGTGGAAGGAAGGCACCCTTTTTGTTGATAGAAAAGCCTGAGGCCAGCGGTGCTTCAAGGCCCTTTTGTCTACTAAGAAGACGCCTTAACACAAGCCTGGGCATAGATTCTTGGCATGTTGTAATCAGCATCCTCAACAGACATGGAGACAAGCAAGAGTCACTCTAGACCAGTGGTTCTCAGCCTCTGGATCAGTGACATTTTGATGAGGTTATCTTTGCTGTAGGGACTGTGTGCTCTGTATTACTGCAGGACATTTGACAATATTTCTGGCATGTACCCACTACATGCCATCAGAATGCTGCTGGCTGTTACAATAAAAATATTTATCTTCAGGTGCTGCTAAATCTGTCCCTCTACAGGCACGATTGCTCCCTAGTTGAGAACCACTGCTCTAAATACTGTATTGAGACAGAGGTTCTCTAAGAGGATCATTGTACCCCCAAGGATGGTTCCTGACCCTCTATACAGCTAAGCTACAGGGAAAAGAGATAATGGTTTCAGCATCATGCCAAAACTCAGAGCCATGTTTGGTTTGTTTGTTTTTAGCTCTATGTATTATTCAGTTACCCAGGCAGCAGCCCCATCTAGGCAGGACTTGCCTGCACAGTGTCATCCACCTAAAGCACTGCAATCTGAACAACAAAAGCCATAATGAGCTGTATCCTTCATTATCTGTATCTCAGATAGCAACTCTGAGTTTCAACATGATCTCACTCAACAGTCTAATTGAAATACTAGGGCTTCTTATCCCTAAGATTCAAGTACCTAAAATTTGTTGGTCTTTTTTTTCTCTTTTTCCTTTTTTTTTTTTTTGGTTGTTGTTGTTTTGAGACAGGGTTTCTCTGTATTGCTTTGGAGCCTATCCTGGAACTCACTCTGTAGACCTGGCTGGCCTCAAACTCACAGATTCCACCAGCCTCTGCCTCCTGAGAGCTGGGACTAAAGGTGTGCACCACCAATGCCCAGCAAGTTAGGTCTTATTCTACTTTCTCATTCCATTTTTTGTTAGTTAGTGTCTATGTTTTGTTTGAGATGGGATCCCATACAGGCAATGTAAGTTCTCATACTTGCTATGAAGTAAAGGGTAACTTTGGATTCCACTTCTGCATTTCGAGTGATAGGATTATAGGCATGCACCACCAGGCTCAGACTGTATTCTCAATCCAAAAGGAAAAAAGATAGAAAGAAACTCTGGGCCAAGCTAGGAAGAAGGCCACAGCAAGAACAGAATGCTCACTATCAATAAGAGACTACATAATTCAGCAAGAAGAGTTTATAAGACATCAGATACAGAATCACAGATGACTGGCATATCCAAATCCCAGGAGGACATTAGAGCAAGAAACAGTATCCTAAAGCTATACACCTCACCAAACCTGTCCATGTGGTCGCTAAAATATCAAAGAGACCATCTATAGGCAAAATGATGAACAATGCTACACAGAACAAGAAAAGCCAAACTCTAAAGGTCTTATAACAACTCTCAAAAGATATTTAGCTATAAAGCTATAAGGAGCATCATTCTTTATTGAATATATATAGCCACTGGTAGGTTCTCATATTCCAGTAGATGGCCCTAACCTAGGTACATATATAGGCAGCAAAAACTGGACTTAGTGGGTTATTAAAAGAAACAAACATAAAGTTGGAAAATTGAGTGTTGGACGGGACAGAGAGCTTGGGAGGAACACTAGATGAGATCATATTTCATTGTATGCATGTATAAAATTCTCAAAAATAAAGAAAAGTTTTAAAGGAGAGAGAAAGAGAGCATCTAACTGCCACCTCTGATCTTTTTTCTTTGTTTGGGGGTATGTTTGGTTGTTTGGTTGATTTTGTTTTTTGAGACAAGAGTAACAGGGAGCTCATACTAGCTTCAAATTTGTTATGCAGCCAAGGTTGGCCTTGTACTCCTGATCCTCCAGTCTCCATTACCTAGGTGCAGGGATTACAGGCTTGGCCCTGAAGGATTTGTATTATAAAATATATAATATAAATTTGAAGTTAAAGAGCTTAATTTCTATCTTATCTGCCATTGACTAACTGGGAAAAAAATCACTTAATTGATATGAGCCTCAATTTCCTTTCTGTAAAATATTCATTGTCACTCAATAAACATTTATTTTATATTCTTCCGAGCTAGGCACTGGAAACAGAGCAATAATAAGGAGATCCCTATTTCCAGTACTGTCTGTAGCTTACAATATAGCAATATCTATCAATAGTAATTGCTTGTACATCCATTCATTTTTTTAAAAAAGGAGTTCACTGGCTAGAAAGTTGGTTCCATAATTAAGGCAACTTACTGATATTACAGAGGACCCTGGTTCAGTATGCACACACATATCAGGGGGTTCACAACTACAACTCCAGTTCCACTCATGTAGTGTGCATATATACTCATGTAGGTACACATACATACACTAAGAAAGTAAGTCAGCAAATAAGTTAAGCAAGTACATAAGTAAATACTCTTTAAAAAAAATAGAGTGGTCAGAATTTGGGTAAACAGAGAATCAGATCTACCAAAGAGTAAGACACAGAACTACAAAGTGTGAGTCATGTACAGAGAACACAGACTTCAGTTTGTCTGCAGTTCAAGGTCATGCATAAAGATAAGGAAAATAAGAAGTTACTAAAGCTAAATAATAAGTTCTTGAAAGCAGGTTGTCTTCAACTCAAGGAAGTTGCACCCCCTACTTGCTAGACCCCATTCCAGTACCTAGAAATACAGCAGAATACAAAAGTCACAGATCTCCTGGTACCTATTATTCTGAGGGTAAAGGCAA